CATGATCCAAATAGACGAACAGTAGAATTGTAATCTATATATATATATATTATAATTATTTAACCTCTAAATAGTGAATTAATAATAAATGATATTCTATCATAAATTAATCTTCTCATTTAAAGAATTTCTTAATTTTATGTTAAAATTAAATCATTAAATTCTCTCATATCCATATCAAGTTTTTTAATCATCAATTATCTAGCCTAATTCATAATAATTGCATCAATATCTTCATTATTATTTATTTGATTAAGTTCTAAATTATTTTAAGATTGATTAATATTTGAATTACAATTATTAAACATTAATTCATCTTAACAAAGACTCAACTCTTATATTTTTATTATTTATTATAATGGTTTAATTATAATATTTTCATCTATTTTATTCATGATTGGATTTTCTAAAGATTTATTTTATTTTTTATTATCTACAATAATTAATTATTATGATTTTGTATCTTTTTTTTAAGGAGTTAAAATTTATTAAGAATATATTTTTTAAGTATTTGATTGTAAACTATTTCTATTAGAAAAGTTCTATTTATCTTAATCTTAAATATCATTTTGTTAATAATTAAATTAGTTTGTTTTAATAGGTGTATGTTTTTATATTGGAGTAATTTAATTAGATTAATTAGATTTTTTAAATTGGAGATCATAAGATGTAGCAAATTTTCTTTATGTTTTATTTTTTTATTTCTTTGGTCCTGTAATGATAACCCAATTATCTTCATCATCATTTTATTAATTTTCATTTATATCTATATGTTAAATAATTTCTGTTATTTTGGATGGCACTATTATATTAGTATCTTTTTTATCAAGATGAGTAGTTAAACAATCTATTTTCTTATTATCTTATTAAGGACTTAAAGTTAAAATATATCATACTTTGAATGTCTATTGTATTCACATTCAGTACAATGTACATCATCTTAAGTTGAATCTTATTTATCAATAATTTCAAAACTATTACAATTATCTTAAGATATCAGATTTTTTTATGAATCTTTATCATTTTTGTTTTTTTACTTTTTATGCTTTTTAGATTTCTTTTTTTAATCTTTAGTCTTCTTTTTTTCTTTACATTCTATTTCTTAAAGATCTTTTACCAATTTTTCTTTAAATTAATCTCTTATCATTCTTAAAACTCTTTTTTCACAAAAAGATTAAATTAATATAAACTTTTCTAAAGGTAAACAGTAAATATCATCAAAATTGTTATTTTCAAATATTTAATTAATTTCTTCTTCATTTATTTATTATTATTATAAAATGATAGTATTTTTATCACATATATTTTATCCATCTTCTTAAAATATAGGTTTTCTCATTATTAATTATGCCCATAATATATCTTCCTATTTTGTATTTTTCTTTTTAGGTGCATTCTTAAATTCTTTACATATTTATGGTATCTAATGAAGGATTTTATATTTAACATCAACATTATTCATCCAATATTTTTTAAGATCATCATTTTAAATTGGATTGTTATCATTTTAATTTCCTTATTAACTTTAATAAAATCTAAATTATAAATAAATTTGTACATCAAAGCTATAGCTTTTTCAAATTCATTTATTACCCAACCAGCACATGTCTAAAATGTTTTAGGATTAAACCAAATAGCATCATTAACAATATATTATTTAGCAATCGTATTTAATGTTACCTTTGGTTAAGAAGAAAATGCTAATCCATTAGAACATTCAATTAATAAATTTATTATTTCTTCTAATTACCCTTGTAAACAAAATTTATCAAATATATCATCTTAATCAATAATACAAATTTTAGAAAGTAATTTCTTATCATTTTTATAATATTATGTATACCTATTCTAAATGTAATTTCTCTTCTTCATGTGAACGCCTTTTACGAACCAAACACACAACTTTGATATCTTCATTTATTGAAGGGAATCTTATCATACAATAACTTTATACTTAGGATTTTCATCTTTTAAAGCATAACTAGATCTTTCAACAAGTAAATCATGGAGATACATACGCATAATAAAGGTAGTTATCTTTTTTGAATTAACAGCAATCTCATTTATATTTTATTTCTTAACCCTAAAAATTACCACAATTAATTAAATATATATATAGCGTAAGAGCAAAAAGCAACATTTAGACAATGCTGCTTAAAAAAGTGATTGAATTAAAATCAATACCATTGAATAAGGTCATTTTTGTAAGTGTTTTCAAATGATTCAATTGTTTCACAACCATGATTGTTGTATTTTGCAGTCAAATATTTAGGAATGGTATAAAGCATGTATAATTGTAAATTTTATAATTTATTAATTATTGTACTCTTTAAATTTATATAAATAAGGCATGACTTATTGTATTAATGATTTTACTTTAATATTTAAATATCTTCTAGTTTGTATTTAAAATTTATTACATCAGAAATGAAATAAATTAATTTCTATTTTTTTATTAAGTATTCCATCATATAATATAATATTTAATAAATTTAAGTCCATTATCTATAATTTTGTTAGTAATTATTTACTATTTAAAACTTTTATTATTAGTTTATTGATAAGTTGTGACCTCTGTTTAAATCATCTTTAACTTTAAATAGGAATAATCTTAGATTTGATTTAATGTATAGAAATGAGAGTGATATATGAAAGGCTTTATAAATTTTATTATACAATAATTTTATTGTAACAAATTAATTGATTAATGTCATCTCTTATTAAAAAAGATTAAAAGAAAGCTCCAAATTAGTACTTAGATTTTGATTAATTGACTCATAAGAAATATCACTATGATCAAAAGAAAGCAAATGAATAATCTATTAAGTAAGAATAGTATATTCAAGATCTTAAAAAAGCGTATTTTAGTTAAATAATTATTAGTTATGATTAATAAAAATTAGAGATTGAACCTTTATTCTAGAAAGTTGAATTGTTATAGATAGAGAGAAAATAATTGATGGATGAAATTGAATAATATAAAATGAGTTAAATGGAAATTCTTAAAAAATATGAATCTGAATATTAAGAGAAAGATAAATTAAATAAAGAATTAACAAAGCTTAAATCATAAATTTAAGCATAATAGAAGATGTAATTGCCAAAAGAATTTTAAGATAAAAAATGTCATGAATTAAAAGAATCATTATTTGTTACAATTAAAGATATTATGAAGGACTTTTTAGATAACTATAATCATATAATGGGATTTAAAGATGAAATTGAATGTATTTATATAATTTGATAATTTAAGTGTCTAATAATTTATTAGATGAATTACTTTAACAAATTGATGATTCAATTAATATGTTTGTAGAGAATTTACCTTCTTAATCAAACAAATAATTACAATCAGAAGAGATTCAACACTTAAAAGAGTAAATTGAAAAAACTCTATAAACTGTCTCAAATTTATAATCTGAGAATTAAGATTTAAGTACAGCTTTAGATATTGAAAAATAACATAAAGAAAAAATAATTAATTAAAGAAATAACTAATAATAAGTAATCAATCAATTAAATAATTAAATTGAAATAATTATTAATGAAAAGAAAGTTCTTGAATCCTAAATGTAGGAAATTTAAATGAAAAATCTAGAATTTTAATAAGATATATGTAGAGTAAATGATTTTAAAGAAGAGGAGAATGAAAAATTAAAAAATGAATTTATTGATTCAATTAATGAGCTTTAAAAATAAATATCAAAATTATAAATAGAAAATACTAAATTAACAACATAAATATAAAATAATACTTAATAATAAAATAAAGACAAAGAATAATTAAATAATAAACTTAGAGAATTAGAAAGTAAGCTTAATTAAGAAGAGATTAAATATGAATAAAAATTTAAAGAAGTAATAAATAATATAATAATAAATAGATGGCAAGAATTGAAAAAGAAATGATTTAATATAAAGCAGAAGCAACCAAATTATTTGAAGAAAATAATTTATACTAGAAGTAATTGGAAGTAATCAAAGATAAAAGAAAGCAGGATAAAGAAGTTCTCGATAAATAAAAAGAAAAATTCAAAAAACTTAAATTACAATTATAACAGACTGAATAAGAATCGTAAACTAAAATAGTCTAATTAGAAGAATAAATAGCATAACTTACATAATAGTTAGAATAAGATAATTCTAAAGAATAAATCAATTATAATACAGAAGTTCTAATGGAAAAAGAACTAGAATTATCAAAATTAGATTAACTTCTTTCAGAGTAATTCATATATATTATATTTAGATCAACTTAAAAAATCAACGAATAAAAGTAGCTTATTGTAGAAATGAAAATTTAGATTAATTCATTTTAATAAGAATTACAAGAATTAAAACTTACAAATTAATAACATTAAGAAAGAAGAGCAGTTGCATTTAGTGAAATTAATCGTTTAGAATAATAGAATTCTATTTAAAAATAAGTAATTTTGGATATCAATATATTAGCGTATTAATGATTAAGATATAACTATAAAATAACTATAATCTGAAATATAAGAACTATAGAAATAATCTAAAAGTAATTCTCAATAAAATCAAGTACCTATTCTTAATCAAAGTTTTACTAAAACATTTATGGTTGAAGGCAATAATAATCTAGACTCATCTAGATTATCTGATACAGATACTTAAATCTCGAAGACTGCCAAAGCTGCTAATTTAATTTTGAATGGCTTGAATTATTTTAAACTTAGACCTTAAGTTACTATTCAATAGGTTGAAGATCCAGATAGAAAAATTGCTGAAAAGGCTTTATAAAAGTAAGCAGAAGAGTTGAAATTCAATTTAGAATAATTATATAAAAGTTTCTTATCTACTTTATTACTTAATCAAGTTAATGATGAAAAGTTTTTGAAGTTTGAGAGATAAATAAATGAATGTGTTAAAAGGACATAAGATTTACATGATAATATTGAGGATTTCTTTTGATTTTATGATCAATTTTGTAGATTAATACTTTAAATAATTCTTATGAAAATAAAATAATAATTAGTATGAAATTATAAATATTTATTGGGAAACTGTTTACATGTCTAATTTTGATTTGGGAAGGAATGCAAATGATAGATTTACCTATAAAAGTGTTATCCAATTTTATAAATCATCATTAATTAATTTGGAGATTAGGTGAATAATTTTTTATTGAGAATTTTTCTGAAGATGTATGATATAGTATTTAATATATAATATAGAATAATCCTTTTTCTGGAGAATAAAATTATAAATTCTTTGTAATCACATTTATTTAAGGGTTGGGTTTTTTGTAAATTATGTTGGCTACATTTATATTTTTTGGAAAAACTTGGGCTAGTATTATTTAAATAGGAATTATTTTAATGAAATCATATTAAGGAATTGAAGAATATTGTTTTTTAGAATTAATATTCACAATGGGAAGAATAGGAAGTTTAATGATATGAGTTTATTAAAATAATGTATATACGTGTATTAGTATATAATAAAAAAATCTTTAAATTTAATAAGATGAGTTGCTGTTCATTCATTGGAAGAGTTTTATTGGCTGTCATTTTCATAGGTGCAGGAGTAGACAAATTAACTTAACCACAATCTTCTGTAGGATTTTTGAATAGTAGATATCCAGCCTTTTATAAACATTTGGAAACTACAACAAAATAATACAATGTTCAACTTCCAGTTTAATTAGTAAGATATTGTCTTAATATTTTTAGTCGCCCACATCAATCAAGCAATAATCCAATGAAATCATTTTAGGAGTAGGTGGTGCTGAAGTGCTTTTGGGCTTACTCGTCATTTTTAATTAAGGATGGGCAGGAAAATTGTTGTCTTTATTGACTTTATCATTTGTTGCTGTTATTCACAACCCCTTTATTCATGGAACAACATAAGCGTAATTTTAATAAACATTTATAAATAGTGAAAAATTATCAGAATAAATCCAATCATTATGGACATTAGGTATTGCTGGCGCTTTATTGATTGTTGGTGCTTCATCAAGCAAAACTTGTGCTCCAGCAGATCCCAAGGCAACCGGAAAATCAAAGGGAGTAACACCAACTGCCCAACCAAGCAAGAAGGCCAAGAGAAATTGAGAAATTTAAATAAATATATATGATAATAAGAGCATTTCGAATATTTTTTTAAAGTCATTTTCCAAAAATTAAATATTCAATGGGATTAGATATCAATTTATTAAGAGAAGACAAAGGTGGAAACCCTAATTTAGTGAAGGAATGGTGTTAAAAGAGATTTTAAGATCCAGCAATAGTTGATAAGGTTATAGCTCTTGATTAAGAATGGAGAAAAGGTACTCAAGTTTTTAAATGAATTTTTAGCAAGATTTAATCTTGATCAACTCAACAAAGAATATGGTATTGCCAACAAGAAGATTGCTGAAAAGAAAAAGGCCAATAAATAAGACCCATGTGTTGAGGAAGTAGAATAAGCCAAAGAAATAGATCTTAAAATTAAAGAAGCTTAAAAAGTAAGACATTTTATCTAATATCTAGATTGAATAAGAATAAGAGAAAATCTTAACCTAAACACTTAACAAAATTGGAAATTTAGTCCATGAATCAGTACCAGTATCCAAGGATGAAGCTTAAAATAAAATTGAAGTAACATGGGGCTAAATTCCTAACATTCAAGTCAATAGTACTCCAGGCAGATGTCACCATCATGAAATCTTGTTTATGATTGATGGTGTTGACCTTAAGAGAGGCTCTAAAATAGCTGGTCACAGAGCCTATTTCCTTAAGGGACCAGGTCTCCTTTTGAATTAAGCTCTGGTAAGCTATGGAATTCAATTCCTCAATTAAAGAGGTTATACCCCAGTCTAAACACCCTTCTTCATGAAAAAAACTTGTATGTCAGAGACAGCTTAATTGTCTGATTTTGATGACCAATTGTACAAAGTACGAACAATTTTTTGTATAATTTGATAGGTTACTGGTAATCCAGATGATGAAGATCTTTATCTTATCGCAACATCAGAATAGCCTATTTCTGCTATGTATAGAAAAGAATGGTTAGAACCTAAAGATCTACCAATAAAATATGGTGGTAGTTCAACTTGTTTTAGAAAGGAGGCTGGAGCTCATGGTAAAGATGTATGGGGAATATTCAGAGTTCATCAATTTGAAAAGATTGAGCAATTTGTTATTTGCCCACCTGAAGAATCATGGAAATTCCACGAAGAAATGATTACTGCTGGATAAGATTTTGTGAAATCTTTAGAATTACCTTATAGAGTAGTCAATATAGTTTCTGGAGCATTAAATGATGCTGCAGCCAAAAAATATGATTTGGAAGCTTGGTTCCCAGGATATAAAGATTATAGAGAATTATAATCTTGTTCAAATTGTCTTGATTATTAATCAAGGGCTCTTGAAATTCGTTTTGGTGCTAAGAAAGGGGATGAGAAAGAGAAGAAGTATGTACATATGCTTAATGCAACATTATGTGCAACTGAAAGAACCTTGTGTTGTATTTTGGAGAATTATTAAACAGAAACTGGAGTTAAAGTCCCTGCTGTTTTAGTAAATGATTAAAACAATATTTTTAGTAACCATTTGTCGGCAAGGATTTCATTCCTTACGTTAAACCATTGCCTAAGAAAGAAGATCTTGGTGCATGAAGAATATTATATACAAATAATATATTTTATAAAATTCAATATTCCATCATTAATCTAATGGTGCGTTATTAATAATATTGTTTATTTTATTATCCTATTTTTATTAATTCTTTTATTAATTATTATTACATTTTTCACCTTTATTCTTTTATTATTTATTTACATTTAAATTCTATTCTTAATTATTTAAATTAGCTTTATAATTCTAAAAACTTTTTCTTTAATTTTCTTATTCTAAAGGTACCTTTAATTTAACAGTCTAATATTTCAATTCTTAAATTAATTTAATAAATACCATCCCCAAGTATTATAGGTATTTCACAAACACTCTCTTTTCTAAAAACATTCATTTATTCTGTTATTTTTTATATTTTTTATTTTATATCCTCTGGTAATTCTACATCTTTTTTTGTAAACATATAAACACAATTTATTCTTTATATCTTCATAACCTTTTATAAATGTGCCCTTATAATATTAATAAATATAATATACCTTGTTTCCTCTTTAGCTAATATTATTTACTAATTGTATTTCCAAAATACAGTTGAAGCTTATAGTAAAATATCTGTTATTCTTGAAATAATAATAATATTATTTTACGATTAATCATATATTAATATCAAAGCCAAAAAATTAGATTAATTTGCTCTTAATTTTCTTATTGCACTTCTTATTCCAACTTTTGTTGATACATATTATGATAATTCTTAATCATTTATAATTTATTGAATGCTCTTGACTAAATCTTAAGATGCATATTAATCTAATGTTCTGAAATTGTATTCAAAAGGTTGATGAAGACAAGTACGAATTGGTTATTTACGCTTTTCTTTTATTTGTTGTTTCATGGAAAAATTGTTTTATATATTAAAATAAATATAAATTCATTTATTAGTTGAACTTGAACTTTAACCAGAGTTTTCTTGAAAATTTCTACTCTGTTATTTTAGTGTCATATAATCAGCAAGTATCAATTTAAGCCATTTCCAAGTCTATTTAAGAGAAGGTTGTTCTCGAAATGAATTGTCTGGATGGCAACTAATCACCATTTGCAAAAGAGATTCTATAAATTTATGTTCATGGGAATATTTAGATCTTCCTTAATATAATAATACTTCAAAATTTGCAATTCTTCAGATATATCTTAATGTAATTTATTTGTTGTGATTACTTCTTATTCCAATTTTAATATACTTTTTTTCAATTCTATATTAATCTTTTGTAATTAACCATTATGCATAATTTCACTATGTAATTTATCAGACATTTGCTACAGTTCCTTATTTAATTCATCAATATATTTCTAATTTCTATTCGAATTTTTAAATTGCTCTTCTAACTCAATTTTTAAATCTTAAACTTGATTGATAAGCAATTATTCCACCTTTCTTAATTACACAATTATATCATTTAATTTTTATATTTCCTAATCCAAATTTTATTATTATCTAGGTAATGATCGACTATATGATTTTTTTTAGAGATCAGAATTTAAAGATTTCCTTGCTGTATATGAATCTGAAGACAAATTTGCTTCTGCATCAGTCTCCCGAATGGAATATAACATTGAAATTTTAACGAAATTTAATAATAAATATATTATATTTTGAAGGGAATTATTGGTGTTAATATCACTATCTAAATATGCCTCCCTTTTTTAAAGCATTTTCAGCATCCTTAATAGCTAATAACTCATTATCGTATTATTAGATTAAGGTGTTATGTGATGCAGTTCTTAAATTAAAATAAAATGATACCTTTCAATCCATCTATTTTATGTGGCAGAGAGATTATCTTCAGCTTCAGCCAAATTGATTCTTGCGTCATTCAAAATTGCATTAAGTGCCTTAATTTCTCCATCCTTAGTCTCAATTTCAGCTTATAACAAAGGAATCAAGACATCTCTAATTCCAGTTATTTTAGCCTAGATTTCTGATAAGATATCTTATTGTAATTTAGATTATGAATCATATTGATTTTATAATGAGGTTTGTCCATCAATCAAAGATTATCTTAATTGATTCATATAATTTATGACTTTATTTAAGTTTTCTTAATCAACATAATTGTTTTAAGCAATTTATGTCAATGCCTTTACTAATGGTTAATAAAACACTCTCTTTGAAGATAATTATTTAAGACTAAAATTATAGATGTATATCATACTGATTATGCATCTTTTAAGAAACCTCTTTGATATTTTCTGCCTTTTATAAAAGTGATGTTTCATCTTTGACTTCATTCAATAATGCAATAGCCTAATCTAAAACTGCAATAGTGTCAGCATATTCATTAAATTATCTAGTGAATACAGATTTATCTGAATTGATTTAAGCTTCTTTAGCATTGAATAATTTAGTTGCATCATAAAGATCTTATTTAGCTTCTGTCAAAAATTATTGTAATCTGCTTCTTTCATCTGTTAAGTCTTTTACATCTACTTCTAATTAGGCAATCTGAATGTATAGGTTTCCAAAATTACCTTGTTTTTGTAGTCTGTTATTTGATTTTAATAGTATTGAACATCTGCTTGATATTATTGATATTCTTATTCATAGAATGCATTTTCCTCATTCTTTCTTTCTTTGAAGGATTCAGCCAATTCATCAAGAGCAGCAAATAGCTATTGGAAATTGAAGTCTTTTGATGCCACTTCTGATAAACCCACAATAACTGATTGGAATGCATGTACAGATTCTCCAGTTGCTGACAAAATTCCTTAGCTATATGATCATGAGTCTTATATACTTGGCTAATGTCAAATACAAAAGAGACAATGTAATGAATGCTTTCATTTATTTAATTATATATCCGTTTTTATATGTAATGTGATATACAATTATTTATTATTTAATCACTTTGATTTTTCATTCCTATTTAGCATCATTTCTTAATCAACACTCATAATCAAATTAATCTACAATCAAAACACTTGTATTACTTTCTATAAGTCAGAATAAAACATTCCTATAAAAAATGAATTCATCAAATATAAACTATATGACAGTGTCGAATATATCTCGCTAACCATGTTTGCAATAAAATCTTCTGATGCACTTAAACCATCATTTAAACTTGGTTCTCCTTAAGCCATTGGCATACCCATAAAAATACTAATGAAATTCACCGATATAACTAAAATAGATTAATTAAATATCTATTCAAATACAAGCAGTAAATAAAAAGCAAATTACAGTAAATAAAGCTGCTTTTATTTGTTAACTCAAAGAAAATGGTTATAATTGATTTCTGAGTTTAGATGTTTAAGAACCCTATTTATAACACATGTAATAGCTTGTGAATAAGAAATTCATAATAAACGAAAAGGTTAATAAAATTCTGTCTTCGGTATCTAAAATGATATATATTTCTATACATAGAAAATTGGATTGATTTTTATATTCAATTGGCAGTAAAGCAAAAGCTAGAAATGCTAGATGGGATAAAACTCCACTTAAAAATATCTAAAATGAAAAGACTTTATGTGGAATTGATCTAGTTGAATAACGTTTTCTAATAGGTTTTGATTAATTGGCTTAATAAACCAAATAATATATAATAATTCCCATCAAACTTATTAAAGCATTTCCAATCTATAAAATATAATTTATTAAATATAATACAGTAAATAATTAATTCTTTTAAAAAGGCAACTCTAAAAACAGAGGGAATATTTAAGCCCTTGCATATTAAAACTGACTTAAAATAGCTGCAGATAAAACTATCAGTGACATTGATAAATATATTGGTGGCAACATCTTAATTTGTTATTTCAAATTGGTTTATGTTTGAAGTACTTAATCTTTATCAGTTATGCTAATAAATGATTGTTGTTCGTCATCTCTTGAAATCTCATTCAATATCATAGGCACTCTTTAAAAAACGAATAAAATATATATAATAATTATATTAAAAAATCAAACCTTATAATTCTTATTTTAACTTTTAGCATGACGACTATAATTTTCTAGATATTAGCTGTCTAAAGTAAGATTCTTATGTCCAATAGAAATGTCTAATTTTTTCCCCTTGATTGTAGACTCTCTCATTTTAGGTCTTTATTTATTAAATAATGAATACCTAGAATTTGGCAATACCTAATATTATTATAAGCTAATTTCAGGTTCATCCTACTCTGTTTTAATTCTAATTTCTTAAAAATTCTTTTTTCCATTAACTACTATACTATTATTAATATTTTAATTGATGTTTATGTAATTATTGTTAACCTAAGGAGTTCTCTTATAGAAGGTCCCACCTATGCTATAAATCTACAATGGAATTACTTTTAATTATTCATTTATTTTTATTAAGTAATTTTCAAGATTTGTTGAATATATTTTGATTTATTTTTTTTCTCAGATGATAATGTAGGAGTAGCCCTAAAACCAAGATTTGATGAAGGTTTAGTAATCACACTCTCCCTGCCTTGACTTTGACTTGCTGCATTTACAGACAACTCGGTAGGTTTTGTAATTGATGTATTAGATATATTGGTTCCTCGTAACTTCTACATTCTAAATTAAAAATTTCATTTACCTAGAAGACTTTAAATTTGGAGCATAATTAAACTGTTTAGATTTTGATTGAGATTCATCGACAATCTGATCTGTTAATTTCATTAATCTTTCATTAAGAGCCTTCATGAAATGGGGTTAAGTTGCATCAGTCAATCTATCCAAATTATCACAATTTAAGTTATAAGATGTAACATCTTTTAAGGATTGCAAAGATGTATCTGATGAAGATTCATAGTTCTCTTTAGGAAATTTGAAAGTGTGGTTAATTTTACAATTTCTGAACCTAGAATTTATATGACTATATATATAACTTCATTTCTATTTCTAGTTTGAAATCTTCAACTTCGTAATCTTCATCTGGTTATGTTTTCATAATCAATTCTGCAGGTGCTTATGGTTTAACAATTTTCTAAAATATCAAATATTTCATCAAATCTTTATCAACAATTTTAGGTTATTAAACTTATGGACTTTTGGACTTCTTATTTCTGTTGGACATAAATCTATAAATCTATATTAATAATAAAAATAAATTATAAGACAAAATCAATATTAACTCTAAGTCCTTAATTTAGGTAATAATCTTCTTTTCTCTAAATCCTTATTGGCATCTTCAATTACTTCTATTAAAATCTTTGATAATCACTTACTTGTTTTAAATCTTAACCATTCTTTTTTTCTTATAATCTCCATTTTGAATTAAGTGAAATCAATATTCAACTCTTTTTTCACTTTTAAATCTAATTCTAATTTTAATAAAGATTATCTATTGATTTTAATTAATGAACATTCTGAGATAGTTTTTACATTATATTACATAGGTTTTGAGTTAAGACACTCATAAATTGCAAAATATTTCCTATTTTAATTTAGAACTAACTCTATTCCTTCTGTACTTTTAAATTATTACAATTATCCTACTAAAAGAATTATGCAATCTGTTGGTATAATTCCTTAATGAAATATGATTCTATTTTCATTAAGCTTTATAAAAGAACTCTCGTTGATTAATTATTTCAACTGAAGATAACTCAAACCTTTAAATATACTTATTTCTAAGAGAATGTCTATAGAATTCTCAATCTTTCTTTACTTTTCTTCCTATTGAAAATACTCAACCAATCTTTTATTTATGAGTATTATGTCACTATGCTATAATGCAATAATTTTATTGTCTCTAATTATAATGTCACCAAACAATAATTTATAGTAATGTAGATCATCAATATTTACAGTTTTATCTTTTTTGATTTCCATTAATGTTGCTCTTTTGGATAAGAGTTCAATAGCAGCATCATTTTCAATACCTTCTACTATTTTTAATTATTTAAATAGATTAGGATCACATTGTCCGAATTTAATTTATTCTTTGAGCAATTATTTGCTCATTAATATTAATATTTTAGATATTGAAATGTTGAGTGGTTTATTGTACAGTCCTAATTGGACTTTTGTAGACAAAATCTTAAGAGACCCTTAATTAGTAGATCTTGAATACTTTGTTGGAGGTGGTCCAGGTCATGATTGGTTAGCAAAGTCAGTTAGAGTAGAGCAATAAAAGTAATAATTTTAATCATTATTTTAGATATTTGGGTCCAAGAGCTAAATTTGAGAGATAATTCAATGAAGAGCCAAAAACATGGGAAGTAATAACAGATAACTTGTATCGTTTAACTTTACTTGCTGGAGTTGAGAGATTACTTACATTAAGATAAGCATATGGTGGCTTAAAGACAAGATTCACTTTTGGAGATTCAAATACGTATAATGTTTATTTAATATATGATTATAGAGCATGTTTACAATAGATATTCAATTAAGGATTATTTAAAGGATATTTTAGAGGAGCTTTATTGAATGCAGCTTAATTCTTAACTGTATGGGCTCATCCATTAGTATATAGTAGAGGTAATGGATACATCTCTCATTATCTTTATTCTTCTTTATTTGAATTAATCACATATCCAATTGATACAATTAAAACTATCATTTATTCTGATGTTCAAGGCAGATATAAAGGAGCTTTTGATGTCATTGAATAAGTAAATAATAATGATAAATAGGTTTATGCAAGAAATGGATTCAGTCATTTCTATAGAGGAATAGTATTTAAGTTGGCTTTCAATGGAACACTGATTTATCATCTTAGAAATATTTATGAAGAAGATTATATTCAATAAGTAAGTGTATTCTAAACATAATAGTTAGTATCAGTTCCATTACTTGCCATTGGTTATGGATTTTTGACAATAAAAACAAGATTGTAATTGGCAAGTACTGATTTGAGTTTCTAAGAGACTCCATAAAAGGGAAGAATTGCTGCAAATCTATTTGCATAAAAGACTCCATTCAGTATTTATAGAGGAGTAATTCCATTCTTATTATTGACTGATTTCTTCCATTACAAATTATATGCACTTTACTCTTCAACTGCTTAAGCAAGAACATTGGATGAATTCCTTGTTGAATATAAGCATCGTATTGGAAGTCCAAAACATGAAAATTTATGGCAATGATTATTAAATAATAAATAAAATAAAATATTCCACATAACTTCAAAAAATTTAACAACAACATCCACCTTCATGTTTAATATTTTCATCTTTATGACGATTTTATACTTAATCACCAGGCCTCTTACCTAAATGTCCATTCCCCATTTAAACTAATACTCTTTTTGTCAAATCTTCAATTACTAAATCAACATTTTATCCAGTCAAACAAGAAATTTCATAATATGTAATATGTAATTCATTTGCCATTTTCTATGCTTCTTCCTAAATTTCTCTGTAATCATTTATATCTTCTGAATCCGATTTGTTTCCAACTAATATTAATTATGCATCTATATAATAAAATTTTAATTATACATTAGGAGGACTGAGATGCAATCTAACTAAAATCATCTCTCAAATCCTTTAATGTTTAAGGTCTAATATTTCACTAAGAACTTTACCTAGTGAGATCGAAAATCAAAATAAAACCAAAAGCAAACTTATAAAATCCATAAGAAGCAAATCTCAATTTTATATCTCCAGGCTATTAATTTACATTTTAATATTGTGTACTGTGTCAAAGATGCAAAGTTTATATTTACCATCATCATACATTTTAGATTTAAAATCAACTCCTTTACTTTCTTCATAATTCAAGTTAAAATTATTGTCACAAAATCTTTACATAAATGAAGACTTCCCAACCCTATTTGATCCAATTAAAATATATTTTATCACTTGTTATCCATTAGACATTTTTTTAATATTTTTAATTTTATTATATATACAAATACAATAATTTATTATTTTTACTATCAAATTTATGAAAGTCACACCTTTAATTCACGAAATTTAAAATTTTAAATAATTTAAAAATGGAACAAACCTATACATTTACAATTGAATCTAAAAAATAAAATATAGATACCCTTACTGAAGAATAACAATAAGAATTCAAAGCACATGCAGAAGAATGCTAAATTATTGTCTTGAAAGGTAATAGTTACTCCAAATAATTTTTCAATCAATTCTCAGAATACATTACAACCGCCAAATAATTATAAGTAACTTAAATTTGTAAAATTAGAAAATCAATGCAAATGATATATTTGTTGGAAAAGGAAAAGATGAAATTCCATAATCATTATAAGTATAATTTAATCCAATATTTCTTAGATATTAGGAAATAGTCTCATTAGATTAAATATCTTGAGTCTTGATCTATCCAACAATGCAGTCAACCCATTTGGTGCTGAAGCATTAAAACCTTTTCTTAAATAAGCACATTAATTATAAAAGCTTTTCTTAAATAATTGTGGTTTAGGCATCAGAGGAGTTGCTTAAGTTTCTGAAGGATTATAAGAAGGAGAACACAATTTATAAATATTAGCTATAGCTAGGAATAGAGCTGAATGTGATGGTGCAATTGAAATATCCAAAGCATTCCCAACATGCAAAAAACTAAAAGAATTGCATATTTATTAGAATGGTATCAAATAAAAAGGCATGATGGAATTATTATCATCATTAAATAATAATTGTTCTGAATTAACAACTATAGATATAAGAGATAATTTTGTACATGAAGCAACAACTTAAAATTTAAGTGATCTTATAATAAATTGTGCTCATTTGACAGCCATCAACATATCAGATTGTAATATTTAAGGAAAATAAAATAAATAAATATTGGAGGCTTTAACTAAATTAGTAAAAATAGAAAGATTAGGTTACAATTATGCTGAATTAAATGATGTATAGGGAAACGAATTATATGAAATTATTGCTAAATAAGTAGATAATATTACAGTAATGATTATAAATTATTTAAGAAATTGGAATTGAAAGGAAATGAATTCAAGAAAGCAACAAAATAAAAGTTTAAAGAATTATTTGCAACTAAAGATAAAGTTCTTGGAGCATTTGATAGTGATGATGAAGATGAGGAAGAGGCAGATGAATTATAAAAATTGTTTAGTCAATTGGTTATTTGAAATTATGAATAACAATGTAATATATTATTTAATTAATGTTTTATATGATATATTAATTTTGTTTTATTCTTAGTAATTACAATAATTTTATAATATTTCTTAAGATTAAAAGAATAAATGGTTTTGAATATAATATCAAAAAGTATAAAATAATTCATTCTCTAATTTCTTCAATAATTTTTCATAAAGTTCATAATTTTCTGGTTTATGAGTTGGTCCTTATAATGCATAATCTTCTCTTTCATCTTAAGGATTCACTCTATATAGATTTCTCTCCTAATATTTCTACTACTATCCAATTTCTACATATTCCTTAAAAGCTTTAAGAAATTCAGGATTCTATTCAGCTAATTTTTAATATTCTGGTTTCAATTCAACTTTTCCTTCTGATGCAACCCAACTAATACATGGAATTCCCATCACTTAATCTATTGCCTACTAATACCAAATTGATTCCATTCCTCTAAAATTTCTAAATATTAGCATACTTTAATTCCTCTTAGACTGTTTTACCTTTCTTATCATCATAAGAAACAAAAATAGTTTTATATCTATTTACTTTAGCTTTAAAATAAGGAAAACTAATAGATTCTTCAATACTTTCTACTATCTCATTTGAAATCTTGAGAATCTTAGGATTGATTATCACTTTGTATTCAGAAGGTATCATTTTGGAACTTTATGGCAATAATATGAACAAACTCTATTCTAATCCAACTTAATTTGCTGCAAGGATTCTTATTCTCTTATCAACTGCAGTCAATTTCATTTGATCTACCTTTGGATAAAATCTTTTATTAAAGGCTCCATAATATAGACACTTTGAAAATAAAGCATTAGACAATTTATCTCCAAACACTATAATATTAGCCATAAAATGAATATTATTAAAGTAACTCAATAATTCTTAAGTGGAAAACCAAAAGGATTTTATTTATAGTTATTTGTTAAACCAAAGTCAAAGTCAGAGATGCTTGAATTTTCAGAAGAATTCCTTATTATAAAGACTAAAGCACAACCTATTGATAATTAGGCCAATGAAGATGTTATAAGAATGTTAAGTGAAAAATTGTCTATTGATCAAAGTTCAATAAAAATAGTTAAAGGATAATAAAGCAAATATAAAACTGTGTTTATTGAAAATGAAATGCAAGCCTATAATAAATTAAGGAATTGAGATATATATTACTTACGTGTTATATTTTTATTATCTAGAAAATGCTCTTGATATTCACATTGTTATTCTCTCTAGGTTAGAGTGAATTGGTCTATCTTGGATACAAAAACTATACTATGGCAAAGAAGGAACACTAACCTTTGATTGTCTTCTATTATGGAGATGACAAATAATCTAAAAAGTTTCTAGATGATTTTATAGCTATTGCTACAGGATAACACAGCCTTTAAAAAACTGGCACTTATCCAACAAATATCAATTTTGGATTGGTTAACTCTGTTGAAGAAAAAAAACTTATGGAAAAAACGTAAATTTAAGTCACTCCATCCATCTTTCTATTTTATGCTGACACTTAAAAATAAAAGTATTCTGGAGCCTATAATGCATAAGCCTTTCTAAACTGGTTAAAGAAGACCTATAGAGATTCTCCAGAATTAAGTATTCATATAATCTAATATTTAGATGAATTTTATCCATCATCTCTTCTTTAAAAATGGGATCAATTTGTTAACAAAATTAACAGTTTCTAATTAATTGCCTTCTTAGCCACACCTGAATACAGAGTTTCCCCTTTGAAAGCATTCGTTTAAGCTGCCAAATAATTACCTTAAGGAGTAAATATTATAATATATAACTCTTAGTATGTCTTTTGTCACATCTTTAATCCAGAATTGTATTAACATTTAGGTTTGAAAAAGGAAGAAAGTGGACTAGTTATTTATAGTAAATTGGAAGATCTAGAGGATATAAGTGAAGAAAAAACTAAGAAATATTAAACTTATTTATATAGATTTAAGGGAGACATTAAAAATACAGATGAAATACTTTAGTTTTTAAAGATCTATGCTTTTAAAAAAGGATTTGTTTATGTTGATGATACTAAATTTTAGAAATTATCAAGAAGAGTAGATTTATTACCATCAATTATGTTATTATACAATAAAACAAGTATTTTTATTTCTAAATTGTAATTAGATCCTGAACATGAACATTATGTTTAACAAATGCAAGATGCTAGATATCCATTATTAAATAAAGCTATTGTTGGTGTTCTTGATGTTAATGGAGATTGTGAAGAAAGATTAGAAAGAGTTTATGAAATTAATGTTAATACAACTTAATTGCCATAATTAATAGCTATGAAACCAATTGATGATAACAGATTCTATAAATATAAAAATGGACCATTAGATCCAATTCAATTTTATGAGTAAATTTAATCAGGATAAATAAAACCATTCTATAGAGATGAAGGAATTTTATAAAATTTATATGATGGAGCAGGAATCTATAAATTAACTAGATCTACTTATTATCCATTCATTAAAGAATAAAATGATAAAGGCATTGATGTAGTTGTAACTTATACTGCTAAAAAATGTTAACCATGCAAAGACTTTAGACCTGATTATAATGAAGTATTTAAGAAAGTATTTTTAATAATTTATTTAAACTTAGCATAAATAAGCTATTGAAGGTAAAGTTATCTTTGCTAGATGTGACATTGAAAATAATGAAATTGATGATCTTCATATTGATAATTATCCTCATGTCAAATTATATGCTGCTGGAAAAGAACATCCATCTACATTACATTTATAAAAGACAGAAGAAAATTTGACTTAATGGTTAAGTGAATAAAGTAATTATGGAAGCATTTTCAAAGTTAAAACTGATTTGTGAAATTAATTATAATTTATGTAAAAAAATAAATCACCATTTCATATTAAATTAAATCTAAATAAACTTAACTATATATAATTATTTTGAATCAAATATAAAAAGATTATGTATTAATTAAATAAATTCAATTATCAGAATCATTAGGAGGAGTAGCAGGGCTAGACTTTTTAGATCCTTCTAATTCTCTTTTAGATTTAGTTTTCTATTATATTTCAATTATTTTAAAATCTGTTGTTGGCTAAGCTTTTTAGCTCATTTAATCTTAATATGCTTATAGTAATAATCTCTTATACAATTTATCATTTATCTTTAAAATATTTATTTATTTACATCATCAATAACAACTAAACTTTCTTATAGATATTTTGGTGGTATAAGATTAGGAATAGACATTTCAATTCTCTTTTAATATCTTCTATTAGTAAATTTCTATTGTCTTCTAAAAGTTATTTTTGCCTTCATTTTATTTTAAACTATCTCATATCTGTTGTTAATTTCTGTTTTAAAATCAGTCAAATTAGAAATCTAACCTTACATCCATGGATGCTTTTTAATTTATTCTAATGATATTCTTTTTTATGGATTTTCTTCCAAAATTTTCTCAATTAAATCTTTGAATTAATGAGATATATTATTATTCAATTCTTAAAACACTTACCAAAACTTTTATTTATCCTATTTTAATAAAGAATAATAAGGATCTGTATTTTTAGATGTTTTAAATGGAGCAGATCTCATAGCCATACTAAATAGAATAACTCCAGATGCAAATACATCAGCAGATTCAGGTATATAATATTTTTATTTACCAACTTAGAGTTTATAATAATACTTTTACTTGTATTTGAAAGTTCTGGTGGATTATACTCTGGAGATCCTAAATATTATTGAACCTCAAATTAGACTTTGGCACCAGTTTAATCAACAGATTTGGCACTGAATCCAAAATCAGCTAGCTTTAAGATACCATTGCTAAATAAAATGTTTTCTGATTTGATATCTCTATGAACTATTCCTCTTTCATGTAAATATTCAATGCCTATGCTAAGTTAAGTTGAATAAACTACCCTTAATCAATTAAGAAAATATTCCCCTTGAAAATTTCTCAGAGAATTAATGAGTTTATTCAAGTAATTCAAATAATTCCCCTTGATCTGCCAATTCCATCACAAAATAAGAAACTTAACATAATCTACCATCCACTTTCCTGTACTTTCCATTTATGCTGCACTATTATTTAAGATCTCAAATACTTAAATAATCTTTATTATATTATTATGTTCAAACTCAGCTTAATGAGATACTTCATTTATAAATTATGATAGTTTGTTTTGATTTGTAGTTGGATCTATCTTCATTATTTTTATAGCGTACTTTTACTTATCTTATATATCGATGGCTAACTTTACTCTATAATAATCAACATTCTAAAATTACTTTGCATATCTGCCAACACCAAGTGTATCAATAATATAGTATTTATCATCTAAAACTGAAGCATAATCCAAATAATCACTTTAAATATCTAAAGACATCATTTTTTATAATGAAATATAATTTATTCTGATAATTTAAAGAAGTTATTAATTTAAATTTGCACCATAACAACTTAAAATCTGATCAAATAACATTTGATTAGATTAATACTTGATATCAAATAAAATTACAAAAGATTTATATCAAAAATAATATCAGTATCTTATTATAAGTAAGTTAATTATAAATGAACAAAAATAAACTAATTCAAGATATATATTTAATAAATATATTTTTATATATTTTTTATAATTATTTCTATATCATTATTCATTTCTAATATGAGAATTAGTTTCACGATTTTTCTTTAATTTTATTGCATTATTTAATGCTTATACTCTATATTTTTTCATTCTATCATCACGTATCTTTTCTTGAATTTCATTTTCTTTCTTAATAAAATTATTTATTTGTTTTATTGTTTATTTTGTATTTTAATTCTCACTTTTTGTATCCTAAACAATTTAATCTAATCTATTGACTGGTGAGTTAACAGGTGAATTTAATGCAGAAAATTAAGGAACCATCATCATTCTAGTATTTTATTGAGATGTAGAGGCTCTTCTGCTTAGGAAACTCATTTCTTAAGATTATGGCCTTAATCCTTAACTTTAATTTCGAGATGCCATTCTACTATGTTTTGTTGAAAAGTCCTAAGTTTAATCTTCATTTTAAGATTTAAAATACGAAATCAAACTTTTATGTTATATCTTAACTTCTTTATTTGTATCACTTTTTTGAGATTAGAGATTTTCAGAAAAAAAAGCAGATTCAATTATTTATTTCATTTCAGTAATTGATTGTTTTTTTGGTTTTAATTTTTTAACAAAATATTCTTGAAAATTCATTAGTTATTCTTCATAACTCATCTTGATTTTATTCATTTCTAATAGTTCTGATAATTCTTTCAATCTAGATTAATCATAAATTTGATTTCTTAATTTTTAAGACCATAATTCATTAGTATATATGACTCCATTATTTTATTTAAATTAATGTTAATAGGTATCATGTACTTTGTTATTAGAGATTTAACTTAAAATATCCTTATAATCAGCTTTTGATGAGATAGATCTTGCAGCACCTGAAGATGCTTTTTTTAATTATAAATAATATTGTTCTAGTTAAGAGTTTTTAGTAAATATTTCATATGTTTTCTTTCTCTATACTAATTTAGGATTATTTATTATTTAAGGTATTTAAAATAAGTACTTAAACTTAAATTTACTATCACCAACAGCTAACTTAATTTTATCCTGTATTTCATTTTTATTTTCTTAAGTTATAGCATTAAGCCAAGTTTAATCAAATGATTTATTATTTTTCCTTTACAATCTATTAATAAATTGAAGTTTCTTTTTTTAGTTATTTGTATTTTCGAGTTCTTCTTCATCATCTTCCAATATCTAATTATCTTGACATTTTATTAAATTTTTCATATAATAAATATTTATAAATCAAAACTATTCATCTTCTTTTTATTTAAGAAACAATGCAACCAAAATATATTCATTAAGATTAATCATATTTAAAAATAGTTTATATTAAATTCAAAATAATAAAATAACTATTTCTACAGATAATCAAAGTAATCGCTTTTCTATAATTCTATATAAACTATAAAAATTTAAAGATATATTTATGTATGTAAGTAATTGAATTGATATATAAGATTAATAATTTTTGAAAGAACCATAATTAGAATTTAGTTCTAAATCGTAATTAGAAACTAAATTAATTACTGAATTAAATAAAGATGAGCATCTTTAAATGTGATTATAATATGTAAATTAATTTAGTATAAAAATGACTTAATTATTAAAGAAGAACATTGAATCACTATTTCCTTAATTTAGTGTTAATGAAATTTTAAGATAAAATGTATACAAGAAAACAATATTTCTAAGAAGAGGCAATAAAAATTATGTTTTGAGATTATTTAATTTAGAAGGTATTAATAAGGACAGAGTGATCTCAATTATAAAAATATTGAATAAAGTTTCTAGAAAGAACAATCCTCATATTGTAAAATTTTTTGAAGCATCACATGATACTGATAATACTTATTTAGGGTATATAATAAAATATATTTTGAAGAGTTATCAGTGAATACATAGAATGTTAATATTAATGTCCATTAGAAGAAAAAGAAATATTGATAATTCTAATTTAAGTAATATCATAATAATATATAAGTTATGTTCGGCTCTCAGTTTATTTCATCCAAAAAGACCTCATGGCAAAATACTGTTATCAAATTTATTTTGTATTGATAAAAATGCAGTTTTAGGAGAAATGAACATTTTATTTTATTTGCATCCTGAAGAGTATTTGGATATTTATTTATTGGCACCAGAATTTGCAAAATCAAAAATATATGATTGTAAATCAGATATATGGATGCTTGGTTTTTTAATTTATTAGTTCATGTTTAAAGAAGCTCCATTTAAAGCAAATAATATTAATGTGTTACATAAATAAATCTTAAAAGGATTAAAATTTACATATAATCCTTAATATAGTTTGAATATGAATAATTTATTAAGGATTATGTTATGTTATGATCCTGATCTAAGACCAACAATAGAATCTATAAAATCATTTGCATAAACAGCTTTAGTAAGTTAAGAGAAAATAGATATCTTTAAATTACTACCAAAATATAAATTAGAGTAAATTGTGTTACATAAAAAAAGAGAAGAAAGAAAACCATAATAAATTGATAATTAAATTTACTTAAATGAAGATATGTAAAAATATCCTTCATTTCGACCATCTAAAGTTTTGAAATCTTTTAAAAAAATACTTTCACCAAGTCCATCTCCATAACATATTGTTGTAAATCTAACAGAAAAGAATGAGAGTTCAATTAATAATCAAACTTAACCATCATAAAATCATATCTCATATTTAGAATAAATAGATAGTAAAAAGAATTTATCAACAACAGGTAAAAACTCTCATTAATCTTAAAAATTAATTAATTAATCATAAGGAATCTCTCTTTCATATTAATAAAGTTAAAGAAATACTTTATATCCTGTATAATTACCAAAAGTTTTATAATTTTAATTTAGTAAAATTAAATTCAGACATGAAAAGTCTCCATAAAAAGAATTAGATGAATCTATGTATAATTTAAGTTTAACATTTTAGTTAAGAATAACCTATTGCAAAATATGCTTAATTACCTTCAAAGATTAATCCTATTCCTATTAAGAAATCTCCTCCAAAAATGTTATTTCATCAATATCAAGATACTGTACTCAGATCTTTTAGTCAAAGATAATGAATGTATATAATTATATCTACTTTAGATTTCTATACATAAACATTTTTTATAATTAATATTATATATTATAAAACACATCATTTTTTACTGAATTTCGTTTATTTTACAGTCTATCCAATTTATTAAGGTGATTTTTATAATAATGGTGATTATTAAGGTGGTTTCTTTTATGTTTATGTTAATTATCTAGTAGATTATGGATGTTATTTAGCGAATTATTTAGTAAACTGAACATTTTATTTTTTATTTGTTGCTGATTATGATTATTATTATACAACTTAACTTTCATCTTCATCAATCTTTTATAATTAAGTTTAAATTTTAGGTCTAAATTTTAAGTGAATATTACTTATTATTATTAGTTCCTAACGTATTTTCATTAGTAACAAAAGGATGATTTAAGAGTTCAATTGAAGTAATTCTTTTCTTTGGTTCAGGTTCTAAGGCACGATATAAACAATCTAAACAATTTTGAGAAAGCTTATTATTGAATTCAGGAGGAATATTTACTCTCCCCTCAGAAATTTAAGCGATAATATCTTTATTAGTATTACCGCTAAATGGTAATGTACCAAATAACATACCATATAATATAATACCCATAGACCATACATCTACTAAAGGAGATACTGCCTTATCCATTCCTAAATGATTTAAAAAAAATAAATAATACCTTTAAGTAATTCAGGCGCCATGTATCGAAGACTACCTGCATCTGCATTTTCTGGATTGTCATTAGATGCAAAACCAGAAATACCAAAATCTATACATTTGATTATACCAGAATCTTTGCTTGTCAATAATAAGTTTTCTAATTTTAAATCTCTATGTATTATCTTCTTTTGATGACAATATGCAATTGCACTGACTAGTTATTTAAAATAATGTCTAGCCTCATTCTCTTCAAATCTTCCTTTTGTTTATAAATATTAAAGTAATTCACCTCCCTCTAAATATTCCATTATATAAACAGTTTATAAATTCTGTAAAAAGAAAGCATTGTAAATCTTTACAATATTATCATGTTTTAAAGACTTTAATGCTCTTGCTTCTCTGAAAATCATATCAACATCCTTATTATTATTATAATTTTTAATACTTAAGCATTTGTCATCATTTATTTTACCATTTTGATAGCCACCTTCTCACCTGTTTATTTATGTCTACCCAATACTACTTTTCCAAATCCTCCTTCTCCTATATCTTACAATTATTCATATTCTGCCAATTAAAAGCTTTCATCAAATTCTTCACCTTTAAATAACTTACATTTTTTATCTTACCTTTTGATGCAAATAACACAGTTCCATTTTTTATATAATCTAAATCGTCTTCAGTTATTTCTACTCCTTCCTAATTGAACAATCTTAATCTATTAAATTATGTGTCCCATTTTGATTACAAAGATTTACGTATTTCGCTAAATTTAGTATTATCTCTTATTGTTAAGGTACAACATAAATTAGAATTGCCATTACGATAGATTTTGATCTAGTGTTAATATTTGATTCTACATCTTTATTATTTGTAGTTGGTTAATAATCATCATAAAATTGATCCATATTTATAATTAGATTTTAATTGCATATATATTCAATTAATATTCATATTTCCCTCTATGTTCTTTCTTTTTCATATTTAAAATCTATCTATTTTTTACATCTCATTATTATAAATATATTATTCTATGATATATTTACTAAATAT